TTCAGCTGCAACGAACCACCAAAAAGAGATTGATCCCAGGAACAATTATTCAGCCTCTTTGAGCTAAGTGCCATTTTCATTGCATTAGAACTGGCTGCGTATTGCCTTATTGAATCTGCCAGTCCTCTGGAAAGTCTGTAATCTGTAAGGAGATCACTTGAAAGAGCTGAACATGTGCTGTAATGAATGGCTGGTGTAGAATCTACACTCAGAAGCTTTAATTAAAGACAAGCGGCTGTATGAAATCTATTTCCCTAGGGCTTTCTGGAGGGAAGCATCCACACATGCGATTAATCTAGCTTCTGCTTGCCACAGCTTTCATCAAAAGACGTGAAGCAGAACGGCACCCAGCAAAAGCACACTTTAGAAGTTGCTGGAATTTAAAAGACAGATTTAGGACTCCTGGTACCGCACCCCACCCAAAATGTATATCAACAGCACTGATAACCTACTTAGTCCCAGTGCAATGCAAAGTGCTGATTTTGACATATAAAGCCCATAATGGCTTGGGCCAGGTTAGTTGAAGGACTCTTTATAACCCTCCCAGAGAACTAAGATCTTCCACAGGAGCCCTTCTCACTGCCTCTGCAGGTACTTGTAAGGTGACAACACAGAATAGGGCCTTTTCTGCAGTGGCCCTTTGACTCTGGAGATCCTTCCTGCAGGATATTCATATGGCTCTCTCCCTGCTTGTGTTTAGGGCAGTGAATTTTCTTTTTTATAAAAAAAAACCCCAGGTTTTTTAGAGCCTGTCTAGCTTTATTGGTGCCTGTGTTTTCAGCTTAAGTTGTCTATCGTGCCTTGGTTTTGTTTTTCTTGTACACTGTTTTCATGACCCATAGAGAATAAGAATGGGATCTAAATCCTTTTCATATAAATAAATAAACATGAGCAAAGGATCGGGTGGGGGGGCTCTTTAGAAATCATTAAGAAACTCTGAAGTGTTACTCTTAGACTGAGGGTACCTTGCAAGTCGCATGGCCCCAGCCCCCTCAATTATGGGGGCAAGGCAGTGTGCATGGTACCTTGGTTGGCTGACTGGCTTTTGTGTTCCTCGCGCAATAGGTCGGCTGTTTAACAGCAGCTGTGGCATTAAGCTTTTACCATCCATAGCAGTGTTGATTCTCACTGGGGCACACTACCCCCACCCCCAAATTAAAATTGCTGGAATCCTTCATTCTGACACTCAGCTATGTTTTGTTGTGTTTAGTCGTTTAGTCATGTCCGACTCTTCGTGACCCCATGGACCAGAGCACGCCAGGCACTCCTGTCTTCCACTGCCTCCTGCAGTTTGGTCAAACTCATGCTGGTAGCTTCGAGAACACTGTCCAACCATCTCGTCCTCCATCTTTCCCAACATCAGGGTCTTTTCCAGGGAGTCTTCTCTTCTCATGAGGTGGCCAAAGTATTGGAGCCTCAGCTTCAGGATCTGTCCTTCCAGTGAGCACTCAGGGCTGATTTCCTTCAGAATGGAGAGGTTTAATCTTCTTGCAGTCCATGGGACTCTCAAGAGTCTCCTCCAGCACCATAATTCAAAAGCATCGTTTCTTTGGCGATCAGCCTTCTTTATGGTCCAGCTCTCACTTCCATACATCACTACTGGGAAAACCATAGCTTTAACTATACAGACCTTTGTTGGCAAGGTGATGTCTCTGCTTTTTAAGATGCTGTCTAGGTTTGTCATTGCTTTTCTCCCAAGAAACAGGTATCTTTTAATTTTGTGACTGCTGTCACCATCTGCAGTGATCATGGAGCCCAAGAAAGTAAAATCTCTCACTGCCTCCATTTCTTCCCCCAAATTAAAATTGCTGGAATCCTTCATTCTGACACTCAGCTATGTTTACTTATGTTTAATTATGCAGGACATCTATCCCAAACCTCACCTGGTGCAGGTTCTTCAGTGCAGGATGCTCAAGTAACAAGTTACGCTACCCACCCAAAGCAAGTCAGTGTTCTGATCTGGAGGCAGCCTTCTCTAAGGGCGGGCAATTTTCCATGGTAAATTGCTGCTCTGGGCTTGTCTCTTTTCAGCCACTCTCCACGGATGTGGGTGGTAATTTGGGAATGATTGAATGATCCAATTACATCCTCTATAGAGACATGGCAGGATGACTTGTCCCTCTGTGCAGGATCTGATTGAAGGGAGGCAAGGCGACGGCAATTAACCACTCAAAAGGTTTGGCCAGTAGCCTTCTCTTTCCTAGATATTTTGGGCTCGTAGGAGAATTTTTTTCATTTTAAGCCATGTATTTCTCATGGGATACTGGTGGGCTGTTTGGGATTTCCTCAGCTATGTGATGGACCTATAAGAAAATCGCTTAACCTCACCGCCAGTTTATTGATTCAGACACTTTTATACTGGAATCTCAGTGAGAAACAAATGGACGTCACATAGAGGAGGGAGAAAGGTTGTTTTCTGCTGCTCCAGAGAAGCGGACACGGAGCAATGGATCCAAACTACAAGAAAGAAGATTCCACCTAAACATTAGGAAGAACTTCCTGACAGTAAGAGCTGTTCGACAGTGGAATTTGCTGCCAAGGAGTGTGGTGGAGTCTCCTTCTTTGGAGGTCTTTAAGCAGAGGCTTGACAACCATATGTCAGGAGTGCTCTGATGGTGTTTCCTGCTTGGCAGGGGGTTGGACTCGATGGCCCTTGTGGTCTCTTCCAACTCTATCATTCTATGATTCTATGATTCTATGACAGTAGTTGCAATGAAAACCAAAACTGCAAATAGGAGTATTCCTGTTCAGGGTGCCAGCCAGCTCTGGCCACTTCCAGGATACTGTAAGTAACTGTGAAGGGCTGAAGCAAGCCATTCTGTAGCACACTTCCTCAGTTTTCCACTTTTCTTTTCCAATTGAAATTCAGTATTTGTGGCTCCTGCCCATAGTTACTCCTCAGTCCTTATCAAGCTGTTTTTCACCTTCTCTTGGGGTTTTTTTTAAACAGATTTTTTTTTTTAGACTTCTGCAGATTTCAGACTTTCTCCAAGTATGCTGATGGCCCCCTCTTGCTTCTTAGAGGACGTGTTTTGCTACTCTCACTTGCATTCACTCACTCACCTGAGTTCATTGTTAATGGAATTATTGTAAAAAATGAAAAAAAGTTATTCAGTGTTCTAATAGGTAAAGGTAAAGGTAAAGGGACCCCTGACCATTAGTTCCAGTCGTGGCTGACTCTGGGGTTGTGGCGCTCATCTCGCTTTATTGGCTGAGGGAGCTGGCGTACAGCTTCCAAGTCATGTGGCCGGCATGATTAAGCCGCTTCTGGCGAACCAGAGCAGTGCACGGAAACGCCGTTTACCTTCCTGCCGGAGTGGTACCTATTTATCTACTTGCACTTTGACGTGCTTTTGACCTGCTAGGTCGGCAGGAGCAGGGACCGAGCAATGGGAGCTCACCCCATTGCAGGGATTCAAACCGCCAACCTTCTGATCGGCAAGTCCTAGGCTCTGTGGTTTAACCCACAGCGCCACCCACGTCTCTAGTGCTCTAATAAGCAGGTGGCAAAGTGGGCTTCTTTTTACACATTCCTCTTGAGCTACTGTTTTCAGAAGGTTGCAGTTGAGGACTAAGATTTGGCTTAAATTGTTGTTTTTGTGTGTGCATGTGTGTGTTTCATTACCCTACCTTTTCCCTCATAATGAGCACTGTCTTTATTGTCTACTGAAAGCTCTACAAACCCCTTGTGGGTGGGTGCAACCCAATATCTGCTTCTGTTTTTCTTTTCTCAATATGTCGTTCCACTTCATCTACAACCGGTGGCAGAAGATAAAGAGAACCAGCACTTGGATGCTACAAAGGGCATGCTTAATTGCTTGTTATTCTTTGTTCCCTAGCAAATGTTAGGATAATGCACTAACTGCAGGCAATGAGCATAACAGGTTGCCTGGTGGAGCTGCCAGCTACTCTTCCAAATGTTATTTTTAATTTAATAAGCTCTTGGCATGCCAAGCCACATCTTACACTTCCCAAATGCTTTATGTAGCTCACAACTCTCAAATCTCCACCACACCGATGGTACAAATGATGACAGCAAGTTCTTCCCTCAAAGTATCCCTATCTGCTTTTGGCCAGTAGGTGCCATTCCATAGCTTCACTCTGATAGCAACTGAAGTGAGTTTAGGAGTCTAATTTGTGTGTAAATACTCCGAGGGTTGATTCATACCTCACTTACATTAGCTCATTAATACGCAGGTCTGCTGCAGAAAGAAATGTTTTACTGATCCCAGGCCAACCCAGACAATTTGCAGTCTGAAGTGAAGGGCAGGATCTGCCCATAGCTGTCAACCTTCCCTTTTTTTGCGGGAAATTCCCTTATTCCAGCACCATTTCCTGCTGCTATCCCGGATTGTTAGATATCCCGTAGACTGTCCCCGGGACAGGTGAGGCTGCCGATCCCTTATTTTTGAGGCTGCTGATCCCTTATTTTCAAATCTGAAAATTGACAGCTATGGATCTGCCCCAGCCGCCCCACAATTCCCTTGGACTGGTGACAGTCTGGTGACAATTCCACTGGAGGTCTCAGAAGAAATAGCTGGAGGGTTTCCATTGCGGCACCACCCAAATTCCCTTGCATTATCATAGGAGAATGATCAGTTTATTCTTCTCAGCTCTATGTCTGAATCTATCATTTGACTGGCAGATTGCAATGCAATACATTATTCTGCTAAAATGCCTTCCTCAATGCCTCACACATTTGTGTATGAATGTGCGTTTATGTTTGAAAGAACAAATCCTTCCGAAGCGTAATTATGAGTAGAGATGCTGGGTTGCTTAACCATAGTTCTGCAACCCCATATTTCTGACTGAAATTTGAAGATACCATCTTTTCGTTGTTGGGTGGAGCAGGTGGACTGGGGAAGGAAGTGGATGAGTGGATGAGAAGGAAAGGAAGAAGGCGAAGCTACATTGCTTCTGGTATTCACTGAGCTTGCAGTGGCATCCCAGTCTATGCTTTGATTTATACAACACTCTCTTTGTATAATTTAATCTTACAGAGAAGGGTCAAAGATGTGATATCACCAATTGTATTTGAAGCTGCGTATGATCTTGGAGACCATATCACGGCAAAGGAGGAAAAGGAATTGCCTTCACTCAAGCCTGTTCTTCGATGGAAGAGAGGGCAGAAGATGGCTCAGAGAAACCAGGTGAGGTACCAGATGATCTTCCTGTTAAAAATGGATGAATAACAACACCATGAGAATCTAGGACGGAAGGAACTGCTGTTCCCTTCTTTGCACTCAAGCTCATGTTTACTGTTAAATAGTGGGTAGGCATAGCAGACGACGCAGTGATTTCTCCAAAGCAGCTCTTTATTTGTAAGCTGGAACAGAACTGAACAGCAAACAGCTCAGCCAGCCAGCTTTTATAGGCAGCCAGCTGTCAACATTGTAGCAACAACAACCCAGGGTTTCCCGCCTAAAGTACCGCATTTTTCACTTTATAAGACGCACCAGACCACAAGACGCACCTAGTTTTTGGAGGAGGAAAACAAGGGGAAAAAAAATTCTGAATTTCAGAAGCCAGAACAGCAAGAGGGATCACTGCACAGTGAAAGCAGCAACCCCTCTTGCTGTTCTGGCTTCTGGGATAGCTGCGCAGCCTGCATTTGCTCCATAAGAAGAAGAAGAAGAAGAAGAAGAGTTTGGATTTGATATCCCGCCTTTCACTCCCTTTAAGGAGTCTCAAAGCGGCTAACATTCTCCTTTCCCTTCCTCCCCCACAACAAACACTCTGTGAGGTGAGTGGGGCTGAGAGACTTCAGAGAAGCGTGACTGGCCCAAGGTCACCCAGCAGCTGCAAGTGGAGGAGCGGAGACGCGAACCCGGTTCCGCAGATTAGCAGACTACCGCTCTTAACCACTACACCACACTGGCTCTCATAAGAGGCACACACATTTCCCCTTACTTTTTAGGAGGAAAAAAGTGAGTCTTATAGAGCAAAAAAATACGGTAACTGACGTGGACCTGAGTGAAAACTATATACACGATACTCCTGGTGGCCAGGGTGAGAACTTGCAATACCTAACATTTACCATGCCAATTAACACCAGATTTAGAAAGGAGATTGTTGCAATCATGCATTTATTGAGGGACAGGCAGTCTGAGAGCTTGCATTCAGTCTTTCTGAGCACTATACAATCTTTCTAGTCTTTACTGCTGCATAGGTGTGGTTGCACAAATACCTCCCCCTGCCCCATAACTTGTATTTGTTTTTATTCACCACCACATATTACACACTATTTTTTTTTTAAAAAGAAACCTTCAAGCAGATGATTAGAATGAACTATGATGAATAAGACGCTGGGTATTCACTTGCTGCCTATTCAGAAGAGTGGTCTCCCATCTGTATTCCAAATTTCATATTGTTAAAAATAGCGGCTTCCAACTGGTACAAGTAAATGAATCTTAACTGAATACCGCTTTTGCCAGAGGGCAGAAGTGTGTGAGCGTTTCCTGAGGAATGTGGCTGCTGTCACTGGGCAGTTTTTCTTATAGCCTGTAATTTTGTAAACCAAAGTCAAATGAAATAACATTAAACATGTTTTTTTGGGGAAAATTGTAAGGTTTTAGACTTGGCATGGTGTTTGTTGTTTTGCTCCACAAAAACTATGGATTGGGGATGTTGTTGTTGTTGTTGTTGTTGTTGTTGTTGTTGTTGTTATTATTATTATTATTATTATTATTATTATTATTATTATTTGCATTTAGGTATTACCTAATGCAAGATGCCTCTAGGCAAAACTGCACACAACACTGCAAAGAACAATTTCCTGAAACACATTAATCAACATCAATGACAACATTCCCACTTAAACAGGGGACTAAACACAAAATCCCCATTCAGAATATTAACATTACTGGCTGAGAAAGATGGCACTCTAAAGCACACAAAAAAACTGCTACTGCTGCAACTAAATCTATTAAGATACTAAAAAGTATGAGGAGAAGGCAAATCTTCATCCGGCATCCAAAGGGTTGTAAAGCGAGCACCATGCAAGTGTCCCTGAGGAGAGCATTCCAAAGGGAGGGGGCCAACACTGAGAAGGCCTGCTCTTTTCTTTCCACCACTTGAATTTGAGCAAGAGGGGCCTCCACAGATGCCCTTAAGGTCCAAGTAGGCTGGTTGAAAGGCTATTCTAGTGTGGAATCAATTTAGGGTTGTGCCTACTATTAGGCAAGGGACGTGGGTGGCACTGTGGGTTAAACCACAGAGCCTAGGGCTTGCTGATCAGAAGGTCGGCGGTTCGAATCCCCATGACGGGGTGAGCTCCCATTGCTCGGTCCCTGCTCCTGCCAACCTAGCAGTTTGAAAGCATGTCAAAGTGCAAGTAGATAAATAGGTACCGCTCCGGCGGGAAGGTAAACGGTGTTTCTGTGCGCTGCTCTGGTTTGCCAGAAGCGGCTTAGTCATGCTGGCCACATGACCCGGAAGCTGTAGGCCGGCTCCCTCAGCCAATAAAGTGAGATGAGCACCGCAACCCCAGAGTCGTTTACGACTGGACCTAATGGTCAGGGGTCCCTTTACTTTTACCTTTTACTACCATTAGGCAGATGGAGGTGGAAGCCTCAGTCTGATGGTTTTGAGTGTCATGAAAGAGCGCCACATGGTTATTTGTTTTATTATTGCTGTAGTTTTACTGTCAGGGAGGTGAACTTGTGGGATGCGTCTTCCAGGCCAGACCCTGGTTACGACTCGGCTGCTCCTTATCATCTAGAGAGCTTCCTAAGCCTGCACCGCGTCAGGTCTGAGGATGGTGAGAAAACTCTCCACACAATAGGGAGAAGTCCCACAGCAACCAAAGGTTACAGCACACTGTGGAAACTCTCTGTGAGGAAGTGGCTGGGGAGCAGATAGGACGCTTTGTAGACCAGCCCTGATATCATTCAGGATGGCAACAGAGGAATTTCACAAGGGGTAGGGAAGGCAGTGACCAGTTTCACAGGCACAACATTGTTCATTATCCTTCCGAACATCTGCGACATGTAGGAGTAAAATTATTTGATGCTGAGAATGTACTCTGATGTTGGGTAGAGCAGAGGAGAAGTTGTCAGTGTTACTCCCAATATGTCCAAGATACAGATCTTGCCTTTATTACAGGAAACTGCTTTCTCCTACCCCTCCCTTTTGGTCTAATTGAATATAATGGTCCCCCCCCCATACTTTGGTTGAGTGGAATCCCTAATGCATCCAGACCCACCCACATATACTTGCCTGGCTTCTGATGTTGGAATTCAGTGGTCAGAGTGAACCCAAAGTTGGCAGTGAATGGACCTTTCCCATGCCAGGAAATCTAAACATGATCCCACCCAGCTTTCGAATACAATTGGCTTGAACTGGGCTTTCAAATGGTCTGTCCTTTAATGAATCAGGCCTGCATGCAGGAGGGAAATCCAGATTGATAGGCTTGGAAGTAATTTAGTCATGACTTGAACAAGAAAGTGTCTAGAAGCGTTTCTGACTTTGAAAGGTCTGCAGTTAATTAACTTGAGCAACAAAGCCGTACAGAACGGCCATTGCCTTTATGCTAAATGTGACTTGTGTATTTGCAAAACCATTCACTTATGCAGACTGGGGTAGCGGCTTTTGGTTCCTCCTTTGTAACAGAGGTCATGTGATTGGCAGGTGGGTTGCTCTACCCACCTATCAAACAAGTCCCTTGCACAGCACTTCTCAAGGGTCCAACAAGCTGAAAATCTAGGCAAAATGCAGAGCACAGAGCTGGCAAAGTTGCTTTCTTCAAGGATCAACTGTGCAATTTAGTTCCCTGTGGGAACTCAGCAGCATGGCAAGCCAATACAGTCAAACTCAGTGCCCATCAACTGCTTTCTGCAGGTTCAATTGTATGGCCAAGTCAAGTGTTTATAAATGAGATGTATGAAGTACTTATGCTCCTTTTCAGTGCTTTTTTTTCTGGCATTACTCAACGGTACACAATACCAGCACCTCCCCCCCCTTCAAATATTGTGGTGACCCTCACGGTCACTTCCAACTCTATGGTTCTACTGCTTCCTGGAGCTTTCGGTGGGTGTGGAAGAAGGGAAAAGGGAAAAATGTGGGGCAGAAGGGGCCTCTGTGAGCCCGTGTGTATGCGACAGGGCAGGTGGCTGTGTCTGGTCAAGTGGCAGACATTTTGGGGGGTGTCGCCCCCTGTGAAAAGGGTGGTGGATTCAGAAGGCCATGAACCTGGTGAACACAGGCAACTTTTTTACAGGGGAGAAAAGCACTGCTCCTTTTCTGATTTATCATTTTTCTCGTGGCAGCCTGGTTTGGCAGCGCAGGGCTTTGTGCCTGGGTTGCCCCTTATCTGCTACCCAATACTGACCCTTCGCCCCATGAAATGGAACATTTCCCTGGCAGGTCAAGGAATTTTACAGCTGTTCCTGTTCACCTCTTGCAAGAGCACACCTGCTTTGTTTAATAGAAAGATTCCTTCTTCTACATTTATAGCTCCTGAGGAATTTGCCCCCATTTACTTCACCTGCTATGACTCTCGATGGAAGTACTCTGCCAGTTACTTTGTCTTCTTGTAACCCGTGTCTGTAGTTAAATCCCGGAAAGTGTTCAGGAATGTTAATTACTTGTTGTCAGTGAGATGAAATCAGGTGCTTGCATTGGGATTCATGGGATGTGTTCTATTAGACGTGCTTTACAAACACCCAAGAGTCTGAGCATGTGCAGTAAAAATCAATTGGTTCTTTGCCATCACTAGATGCAAGGAAAACTTCCTTATCAAGGAAAGGTGAAGAGTGTCATGTGATTTGATAAGTTCCAAAGAGATGCTTTTTATTTATAACTTCCATTATTAGCCTTAATTTTTAAGGTTTCAAATCTCCAAACTCTCTTCCAGACCATGTGTTAAGACTGATTCAAACTATCATTTGCTTTTTAACTTGGTTATGTCAGCACAACTTGACAATGGCTCATAAGTGGTGTTCTGTGGACCCCAGAGAGTCCATGTAACCCTCGCAGAGGGTCCCTGGCACCATTCACACAACAAAATCTACCATAGCAATATCTAATTTTTAAAAAGTAGATCCCACAGCATATCAAACAGAGATTTCAGCATATCAAACAGAGATTTGGTCTTTTTGTTTCCCCCTTCCCAGTAACATTATTTTCTTAATTCTCATAGACTGTTTTTGAGAGGAATTGTCAGTCAGATGACTGTGCCGCTGATCTTAACCTTCAGGGGAAACTATTTCTATCCAGGTGAGTGCCACTTTTAAATGCTTGATTGATTTTTTTGGGGAGGATACTGGTTTAAACTGTTAGGACCTGTATAATTATGTTTACATGCATAGAGGACGCTCTATATTCAGAAAACTCTAGAGCTAAACTTTTTAATTCCTCCTTTCCCCAACTTTTTGTTTGCAGGATATTTCATACTGTTGGTTCAACCCCACCCCATGCTTATTTTATATATATCTCTATCTATCTATCTATCTATCTATCTATCTATCTATCTATCTATCTATCTATCTATCTATCATCTATGAATTATTTGTGTGCAGCCTTTAATTTCAAAGAAATGCCAAGACACTTTATGTTGCTTTATTGATGCTTCTCAGACGTTCCACGTGCTTGGGTATGATTTCTGGGTATGATTGGGTATGATTTCTCCATTTGTCTCCCCTGCTCTTAGTTGAATGTAGTTACTGATACATTTCTGCAACTGCGCCAGCCACGTTGCCCAAACCTGTGTGCATTTGATCACAGGTCTGTCAGCAGCTGTCAGCTGTCAGGGAAGAGAGGAGTGGTGTCTGGGGCCATGTTCAGAATATAAGAATAGCAAAAAGGCAGAGGCACAAGATGGGTTTGCCTGCGTGGCACTGCATACGTGAAAAGGGATATGGGCAGCGGGCGGAAAGAGCCCCTCTTGGTTTTAAAAAAATAAAGCAGGCAGCAGAGGAAAATGGACAGGTGCCACCCCTGGAGCAGAATGGGCAGGCGGCTTCTAGCAGTGCAGCTGGAGAGTAAATCCTCCCTGAAGGACTATATAAATGGAATAGCACTCCATGCGGTGCCATGAGAAGGAGTGCAGCTTGACCGGGAGTGTTAATAGAAATAGCAGAGCGGCTGGGCTCCTCGCATGGCTTCTGCATTCCCTGTGGGGGAGAGGCCGGAACAAGACTTGCACATGGACTGTGTGTTGGTTTATGAAGACAGGGGGAGTGCAAGTGATCTTGGGATGGGAGACGAACTTGTTACAAATGACGGTTATTGATGGGAGAACTTCAAAAGCAGTTTTTCTTCCTCTTTAGCTACCTAAACTTTCCCTGCTCTTGTCATTAAAACCAGAGTGAGTTTTATTTCCCAGCATATTCCTCTGCCCCACCCCCCGCAAATGCCGACATTTGCCTTTAAGGCCAATTGGCACCAAGTATTCAGAGACCCTTTCAGAATCTATCTTCCAGCTGTCATTCATTTGCAATCCCTCCGTACCATGCCAAGCTTTTCTCGTTTTTCATTGCTGCAAATAATGTGCATTGGGGGTGGAGGGTGGAGCGGAACGCCGAATCCCGAATTGGAAATTGGAAGACTTAATTGCGGTGCAGGAATTCCTTCCCAGTTAGTGTCAGATTCACAAGATGCCATTCCTTTGTTGTTTCTCGTAATAATTATAGCGCTAGCGTTTCTGGAGTCCAAGTATATAAAGTGTGTGGATATCTATAAATATGGGTTGAGCCCAATCCAATGTCTTTGGATGGATCTGGGCAAGAGAGGTTAATTTGCCATAACCACTTAACTCGGAGTAAACAGCCATAAACTCAATGCTGCTTTCTTCTGAGTAAGCATGCATAGGATTCCACTGTTAAATTAGGGGCGCTGTGCTAATCCACCAGCTCCTGTTTCTAATGCAGATAATTGGTGTCTCAGGGATGGAGCCAATTAGTCTGGACTTTGGTTACTTCTGCCAATTCTGGCCAGTGAATTGTGTTTGATAGTGAGATGCATGGACTTGACAGTGGACAGGAGTGGATTGCAGATGAAGATGCCCATCCAACTGTGTATCTCTGTCAGCGCTGCATTATTTCAAAGAATTCCTGAGTGTAATTGATTACATATTCCCATCCTACAACCAGACTCATCCAACTGCAGAAGATAAATGGGCAAATCTTAATATTTTAATTTTTTTTGTCACAGTCTGTTTTGGGGGAAGGTGAAGGTATCTATACATTTTAAATATGTATATTTTGCCTTCATGCCTGACACAACAAAAGAAAATCAATGCATTGTAAATTCAATTTTTTTTCTAAATAAACGTTAAAAACATTTATACCCTACCTTTCAGCAGAACAACGAAAACTTAAAATGTAGCTGAGAAATATAAAATGAATATCCTAGAAACAATCGTATTAGTAAGCTAGTTCATTAGGATTAGTGCTGCAACCAAGTGAGATAAATTGTAATTGATCATCATCAGATTTTTAGTTAATTAATTTATTGATTAATTTGTGTTAAGATTAGAGCTGCAGCCTAGTTAAAGGAATTGTAATTGATTAATCATCAGAATTTTAGCTGATTAATCAATGGATTAAATTTGCACAAGTTTACAATTCATAAAAATGCAATCTTTCTCTCTCTAAAAAATTAAAATATTGAGTGTTATTTGGCAGATGAGTTTGCACATTATTTCCCTGTTGTGGGGGAAATGCCAGCTGACTCCAGTAGCCTCATTTAAATATATATATATATATATATATATATATATATTGTTTGGGATTGCCTTAACAGTTGTGGAGGAGTTGCCGTTTATTCCCATGCCAATATGTGCCACTCATTTGCCTTTCTGTAGAACTGAGACCCACCCCAATGTCCATTTTTACAGTGTAAAAAAATCCACCCACCTGTTAAGAACTTGTACCATTATTAATAATGCTAAGGTGGAAAAATTCATTCTTGATGTTGTTTGATTGGTGCAAAACTGGCTCCAGGTTTGATGGGGTGCCTTCTGGTGGGATCCCTCTTTCACTGATAGGCCCCACCAGGTAGTAGCTACAGAAACTCGCCAAGCAGAGATGCCAACTTGAATAAAATATTGGGGAATGGGGAGTCCCACGCTGCATAATTGATCCCAAGATGCAGCGCGCACACACCATTTGAATGGCAATGCCTATCAACTGGGGGTGGGGTGGCACCCTCAAATATTTTATGGGTGCTCCTGGTGGTGAAGGAACCTTGGTCCTTAGGAGTTGGCTCCTATGTCTCCAACAGGGCCGGATTTAGGTTTGATGAGGCCCTAGGCTACTGAAGGTACTGGGGCCCTTTAAACATCCAGCTGTCCTTCGCCAACAACAAATTGTCACTGGTTTTTGTGTTGAATATATGCTATGTGGTAATTTATGGACCTAATAGGTATCTAGAGCCATTTGCACATGCAGGATGTAGGCACCCTATACATAGAAATGAGCAAACCAGTGATATTTTAGGGAGCAGGCTAGCAGGCGGGGCCCATTACTTACATCATAGGAGCCTACACAAGACAAAACACTGTTGCTGTATGTAGGTTTTATTTATTTGTTTTTTATCTTATATTTTGGAAATGTACAGTGGTACCTCGGGATGCAAACGGGATCCATTCTGGAGCCCCGTTCACATCCTGAATAGAACGTAAGCCGCGACAGCGAGTCTGCGCATGCGTGGGTCACATTTCGCTGCTTCCGCACATGTGCGTGATGTCATTTTGACTGCGCATGCGCGAGCGGCAAAACACGGAAGTAACGCACTCTGTTACTTCTGGGTTGCCACGGAGCGCAACCTGAGAATACTTATCCCGAAGCATATTTATCCCGAGGTATGACTGTACATCCATTTTTTCCCTTTAATTTTTTGGGGGGCCCTCAAGAGAGTGGGGCCCTAAGCTATAGCTTGTTTAGCTTATACGTAAATACGGCCCTGGTCTCCAAGGATGGCTGGGTGTAGCCATTTTCTTTCCCACAGTGCCCCAGTGTGCTTGAGCTAGTTTCATTCCAGGGCACTGAAGGAAATTAAAATGATGTCCATTAGTTCCTGCTGTTGGGGATCTGGGTCAAGTATCGCTCCTGATAATGAGCTACTGGGTGCTCCGGCAGCTGCTGCAAGATGCCAGGCGCTGACTCTGGACCTGGTAGATGGGATAGTGTGGGACTTTGCTCAAAAAGCGTGGTCCATTTTTGAACTGGGTCCAACCCCCTTAAGTTGTGTCAGATTTTTAAATGGGTTTCATTTTCCACCAGCCTGATTCCTTCCTTGAGGGGTGGAAATCCTTACCCTGGGGAGGGAGAAACAGGTGGGAGAGACCTCTTGATTTTCATATAAGAAAGGCCCTGCAAGGCTTTTCCTTAATGGAGTATTGGTTTTGCCTGAGGTGTGTGCCTGGGGCTTTTTAGTTTTCTAAGTAAAGTATGCAGGAAATTATAATCTGTGCCTCTAACCCATTTTTTTCAGGTATGGGTGTGTGTGGAGAGACCATTTCTGAATTGAGATGGGTAGGTTTTGCCCATCTCCACCCAGAAACAAAACTCACAACCCATTCAGATGCCCATATGAGGAAAAGGAAATGATAAAAAAAGTTAAAGCTGTTCACCACTCCAGCAAAGATGGCAATCTTGGAATACAAGCTCATAAACTTTACTGTTGGTTGCAATAAAGAATTTGTTGCACAGTAGCAAGTGATTTATGTCAAGAAAAGAACTATACCCAAGCCAGATATTTTTAGCCAAGTAATGTATAAGCGCAAAAGAAAAATTCTCCAACAGCAGTTCTTCCATTTCAGCTCACCAGGTGACCTTTAAGAATCCCAATTTCAAATTTCATATAAGTTGACTGTATGCAAGGTTAGTAAACGAAGCTTATGCAGATGCTTAAAATCAAATCTCCTGAGTCAGATTTATATTACAAAAAGCCAAACACAACTGTGCATTTATGGTGTTCTGGCTTTCATCACAAATTTTCAGCCTGTGCAATATCAAATGGGCCTGGATTTACTGTTTCTGGAGTTTAAATGCTCTCTTTGGCAAACCTTATATTGCAGGGACAGTATGGCAGTTATGCATGTACTAGGAATTGTACCATCTTCCCCAGGGGCCATTCATTTTATATAGCCTTGAGCCATGCCACCAAATGTTTGAATTATTACCATATGTGATGAACAATACAGAATGTGATCTATCAAAAAGTGTGTTCCTCGAGAGGCAGCAAATAGGTGGCAGACTTGCTTCAATTTCTTT